TGGAGTTTTTCAAAATTAAAACTTATAAAAACGTACTTAAGATCAACTTTGAGTTAAGAGCTCTTGAGTGGACTAGTACCTTGGCCATTGAAAATGACTTGTTGGATGAAACGGAAACAGATGTACTAGTACACGAGTTTTCAGAATTGAAAGCCAGAAAAGCCTATGTTGCCACACCCATTGCAATGGTCCAGGCTGGCGTGGCACTTCTGAAGGACAAGAGTTTGCTTCCTTCAAAGGAGGTGTCTGTTCTCCTGGGGCTACGTTCTCCAAAACAAAACTAATTGACAGACTCAACAAGCATGGGACTGAGTTCTGTTATTAGCAGGCCCAAAGTCTGAAAAATCTTCTGAAGAGACAGCATGACCAGGAAACCTTTGTGTAGTACTTGTAGACCAAAAATAACAACAAAAACTTAAAATTGTTGCTAAGTTTAATAAAATATTTGCATTCTTAAAAAATTAATTTGTGTTAATTCTATGTAATGTAACTATATAAACTTCTGGTTTTTAAGGTAACTCTTTTACTCACCTCTACCTTCTACCTTTTATTTTTCAGTGATTGGTTGGGGGGGGGGGGCAAAATACTGTTTGCTTACACTTGAAAATTACCTTGAGCCGGCCCTGCACACAGAACACCCATGCTTTGAAGGGACTCGCTAGCACGACCCTCCCTCCAGCCTTGCACGCTCTCCCTCGGCTGCACATGCGCACCACACTGCTATGCACAGAGCACACCTGCTCTCCCTTTCCTTATTGGAGTCTCAGAAACAGCCCTCCCCTTGGCTGAGAGGGAGGCCGAGAGGCCAGCCAATCACAGAGAGGAAGGATTTTGGTGGGAGGATTCGCCATCTGTTTCCAAACAGGAAGAGAACACCAGGAGGAGAGATTTACAGCCTTCTCTGCCAAAGGGGTTTCTAAGATCATCAGAAATATATGTTTTCTGATGGTCTTTGAACCCCTCTGAAACCCTTTCACACCCCCCCAGGGGTCCCGAATGCAAGTTAAAATGCTGCTGTGATCTCGCTATTGTCACAATAGAGAAATGAATCCACTTTAAACATCTGGTTTTCTGCCTCCGCAGAATTGGACGCTGTAAAAGGCTCCTCACTAAATACAACCCAGATCTTCAGGAGGCAGCAACCATATTTAAAGTGGATGCATCTCAGTGCAGCATTTCGCAACCAAGGGATTCGGGACTCTGGGTGGAGTTGCAAGGGGTATCAGAGGGGTGGCAAAGACCATCAGACACCAGTTTGGGCATATTGAGTATTCATGCAAGTTTGGTCCAGATCCATCATTGTTTGAGTCCACAGTACTCTCTGGATGTAGGTGAACTACAACTTCAAAACTCAAGGTCAATGCTCACCAAATCCAGATATTTTCTGTTGGTCATAGGAGTTCTGTGTGCCAAGTTTGGTTCAATTCCATCGTTGATGGAGTTCAGAATGCTCTTGATTGTAGGTGAACTATAAATCCCAGCAACTACAACTCCCAAATGACAAAATCAATCCCCCCATCCCACCAGTATTCAAATTTGGGTGTATGGTGTATTTGTGCCAAATTTGGTTGCCAAAGACCATCAGAAAACATAGTATTTTCTGTTGGTCATGGAGGTTCTGTGTGGGAAGTTTGGCCCAATTCTATTGGTGGGGTTCAGAATGCTCTTTGATTGTAGGTGAACTATAAATCCCAGCAACTACAACTCAAAAAAGTCCATTTTCCCCAAACTCCACCAGTGCTCACATTTGGGCAGATTGAATATTTGTGCCAAGTTTGGTCCAGATCCACCATTGCTTGAGTCTACAGTGCTCTCTGGATGTAAGTGAACTCAAAGTCAATGCTCACCAAACCCTTCTGTTGGTCACGGAAATTCTGTGTACCAAGTTTGGTTCAATTCCATTGGTGGAGTTCAGAATGCTCTTTGATTGTAGGTGAATATAAATCCCAACAAACAAAAAATTTGGGTTATGAGATTGCGCCAAAGTTGGGCAAGTGCATGGAAAAAATACATCGCATATAAGGTGTTCATGACAGCCCGTACCAGGATTTTGATTGGGGGGCGGTTTGATTCAGGGGGGGGGCTGAGTCTGAGTGAAAGAGGGTCTACCCTAGCAAACTTTTGTATCATTACCCCAATACCCCCATGCATATGGGATATATTGAGCATGGTGATCAGATCATGATATGAATAAACATAACAGTTTAAATAATGCACCAGTAAGGCCTTCTCGCGGACCACAAAGAGAATTTTGTGGGGGGTGGGGCTGAAGCCCCTGCCCTGGCTACATGCCTGTTACATGACATTCATATCAGTAGCAAAATTACAGTTATGAAGTAGCAACGAAAATAATGTTATGGTTGGGGGTCACCACAACATGAGGAACTGTATGAAGGGGTCACAGCATTAGGAAGGCTGAGAAACACTGGCGTAGAGTTTATTGGTGCCAAATGTGGCCCAGTGAATGAAAATTCATCCTGCATATCAGAAATTTACATTACAATTCATAACAGTAGCAAAATGACAGTTATGAAGTAACAATGAAAATAACTGTATGGTTGGGAGTCAGCACAACATGAGGAACTGTATGAAGGGGTCGCGGCATTAGGAAGGTTGAGGATCACTGCTCAAGTGTGATGTGGGTCTTGCAAAAGCTGAGTCGGTGAAAAGTGAGCTCAAGGTGCCTTCATCCTTCAGTAGAGAAGATGCGCGCTTCCTTGGCTTCCCTCCCGAGGAGAGAGAGGACCGCCTTCAAGGTTCAAAGGTGCTGCGGGTGGAAGGAGGGTGGCAGGCGGCGACGGGGTGGTTTCGTTGCCGCCTGAGGCCACGTCCGCCCTGCCCTGCCCTGCCCTCGGGAACAGCATTCACGGAAAAGTGAAACCAAGATCTCTGGCACGCCCTTTGGCTCTTTCCCCCACTGGGCGCTTTCCCCCGGGCGAGGCGCTTGTGCGGAGGAGGAAGAGGAGGAGGAGGCGATCCCCTGAAGGCCCCTCAGGACGATGGCCAAGACCCTTGGCGACCCCCAGCCGGGCCCTTCGGACGACAGGAGGGAATGGGAGCCCGTCTTTGTCCAGAGCGAAAGCGTCAAACTCCCCTTCGTGGGACGTCGAGGCCTGCTGATGGACGCCTTGGCCGACTTGAAGGGGAGCGAGCTCTCGCAATTCGAGTGGGAGCTCCAGCGCTCCCTGGGCGCCCACCGAGTCCCCCTGGTGCTGAGGGAGGTGCGTGCCCCGCACATGGCCGAAATCCTGCTCCGCTTCCGTCCCGGAGACGCCTCTACAGATCTGGCGATCCGGCTGCTGGAGAAGATCGGCTGCAAGGACCAAGCGGAGAATCTCTGGAAAAGCACAGAGAGGGGTGAACAGGGAGCGGAGGGGAGGGGAGGGGAGGAGTCACATCGGACCCTCCAAGGTGGTCCGTTACTCTCACTTTGGGAGTTGTAGTCTTCCCAGGTCTCTGCCAAAGAGCGCTGGTGCCAAACCACACATCCCAGGATTGCCTAGCTGGGGCACATGGCACTTAAAGTAGCTTCCAAATGTGTGGATTCCACAATGTAGCCAAGGGCTGTCCAACTCCTTCTCATGGAGGGCCACAGCAACTTTATT